TTCTCTGAACCCCCGTGATGTCCACTGGGTGCTGCTCCTCCTGATGGCATCATCCCCTGTGTTGGCCCTTAACTGCTCTTTCTTCTGGATCTGCCATTTCTGCCATGTCAGCCCAGCAGTGGCACCATTTCTGCCATGTTCCATCATACAGGCCCCGCTGCTACTCAGGGGAGGATTTCATTCTCCTGCCAGACAAGCAGCCACTTCTGCCATCTGGCACCCTCATGACTGCCATTGTCCACAGAAGCAATGGAGGCTTCCAGGAGCCAGCCCGTGGGTGGTATATTAGGTTCTTCAGAGAAACAACCTTTAAATACACACACACGTACATATACACATATATACACACATACATACATATAAAATCAGGTATGGCTTACATGATTATGGAGGCCGAGAAGTCCCACGATCTGCCATCTGCAAGCTGGAGACCCAGAAAAGCCAGTAGTATAGCCGGAAGGCCTGAAAGCCAGAGCCAATGGTGTGGAGTCCATCTGAGCCTGAAGGCTTGAGGCCCGTGAGTGCCCCGGGCAGAGGAAGATCAGTGTTCCCAGCTCAAGAAGACAGCAAATCCAACCTTCCTCTGGCTTTTCTCTTCAGGCCCTCACAGATTGGACGATGCCCATCCACACTGGGGAGGATCATCTGCTTTCCTCAGTCAGTCAAGCCAAATGTAAATCTCTTCCATGAACAGCCTCACAGACGCACCAGAAACAATGTTGAACCACATAATCCTGGCATCTAGTGACCCAGTCAAGTTGGCATGTAAAATTAACCATCATGGGTAGTTTGTGGCCAAATGGAGAAGAATGACTCTCTCCCGCCTGCATGTTACTTTCTGTTAAGAAAATACTAAAGCAGTGATGCATGGGCCCCAGGGTCAGAGTTCTCGGTGAGAATGGCTGTTACTATTAATTAAAGGTCCATCTCTAGGAAACAGTCCTAATGGGTTCATGAGCCTTGGCCAGGGTGAACCTGAGTGAAAGACACTACAGAATTTCTCAAGCCTCTGGGAACTAAGACTTTGTAACTGAGGCAAACTTACTGTGTCTGCTCTGAATGAGTCTCTCCCAAGAGCCTCCTTAGTACTTAATGCAAATAGACTTATTGCTAGCCATACCATGAATGTTACAATTTGCCAAATATACCTGAATTCCAAGCATGAACATAGCTTAGCTCAAATTGGTCAGCCCACTGTGTAAACAGTAAGTTAGTAAATTAATCTTTGGTTCCCAGCCCATCTTCCCCTTCCATGTAGAACCAGCATGGCAATTTTCAATCAGATCATGGAAGCCAGCATGGCCTGTTAGAAAATAACAACCACTGAATTGCCTACCAACTCAGCACTCTACCAGCATGGAAGTTCTGTGGTAGAGAGGTTACAGAATAGAATACAGTTATTACCTCACCAAAAAGTGATGTCTGTGCACTGAAATAGACCAGTCATATAGTGATGGCAAAAGAAATATTTTAGGGGTCAGGCATGGTGGCTCACACCTGTAACCCCAGCACTTTGGGAGGCCAAGGTGGGAGGATCTCTTGAGCCCATGAGTTTGAGACCAGCCTGGGCAACATAGAGAGACCTTATCTCTACAAAAAATAAAAAATTAGCCAGGTGTGATGGCACATGCCTGTAGTCTCAGCCATTCAGGAGGCTGAGGCAGGAGGATCGCTTGAGCCTATGAGATCAAGGCTATAGTGAGCCATGATTATGCACTCCAGCTTGGGTGACAGAGTAAGACCCTGTCACACACACACACACACACACACACACAAAAGATTTTGAAACGTTCAGTATAACATTGCTGAATATTTCTGGAAGACAGAAGAATCAGCCTGGGATACATTTCTTAAAATGGCCACTTTGAGAGACAAGGGACTGAGATGTTTTGAGTTTGCACAGAGTCACAAATGGGTCTCACAATCTATCAGATAACAACGGTCCAAGGTAGTACTGAAGAGACTCTTCAGTCCTGTAGCTCAATGGAAACCATACTATCATGACTGGGGAATTTCTTTGCACAGCTGGTATATAGCCTTGAGTTTGTATCTACAAGAATATTAACCAATCCTATAGAAATGAAAAGAAACATGCTACTTGGCCTGGCATTTCAATACAGTTCATTAAATATGTATTAAATGTCTATGATGTACATGACACTCTATTAGGTAAAACACAAACCACTAAAATGTCTCCAGTAGGCAGTTATTAGGATTAGGGCTATGTGTTTACTTCCTTTGTGGTTTCCATAATGGTCCTTCTATTTCCCCAAGACTTTTTCCTCTTTTTATATTACCTCTTTTTTCCCCAGTTAGAATAGAGGTTGCAAATCAATCCCAGTGAATCTCATCTTTAGGTCATTTCTACACTTAGCCAATTAGCCAAGTGTGGTGACACATGCCTTGGCACTAGGTGACCTTTTTTCTCTTCCAGTTCTGCTGACCTTCATGAGCACAGAGGTTTAGCTGCACGGCTACCCCTGAAATGTTGTTGTGTCACCTGCTAAGAGGATACAACGACTAAGACAGGACAACCTAATCACCATGATTTCCTTGCGGAAGGTCAGAAAGGAAGATAAACTAGCCAACTTTAATTACAGAAGCAAAATTAGGCATTTGATGTGAAAAGAGAAATCCCAGGTGAAGGAGTGAAATGGATTTATGCTGTTTGAATGTGATATATTTCTAAAATATAATTCCACTAATGGGATTATTGCTTCTCTAGTAAATTCTTTGGGTCATATACCATCAAATTTTTCAAGTTGACTAGGCCACAACGAATCAGTGTTTACAAAGGTGATCCATTAAATCAGAATGAGGCATGATTTTAAAAACTATGGTGAGTAGTCTTGATCCTGGGAGCTGGCAAAGAAGGCAGCAACCACTATGGCATGGATTTGTAAGCACTAAGATGTTACTTCTATTATTGGTGGAGGGTGTCCAGGTTCCTGGCATTTTGAACAAAGAATTAGACAAAATGCACAAAGCAAGGAAAGAATAAAGCAACAAAAGCAGAGATTTATGGAAAATAAAAGTAGACTCCACAGAATGGGAGTGGCCCCAGCATGGAGGCTCAAGAGCCCCTTTACAGAATTTTCTGGGGTTTAAATACCCTTTAAAGGTTTCCCATTGATTACTTGGTGGACACCCTATGTAAATGAAGTAGTGGCCTGCAATCAGTCTGATTGGTTGCGGAAAGCAAACAATGGGAGACTGAAGTGGAGTTACAAAAGTTACACCCTATGCAAGCATCTGATTGGTCGTGGAAAGCAACCAATTAGAGGCTGAAGTGAAGTTACAAAGTTACACTCCTATGCAAATACTTCAAAAGTTCTATCTGCCATGCAGAAAAAGTTAGTGGGGGTGGAGGGCGGGGAGTTGCAAAGGGTGTAAGGAAGTAGCTTCCAGTCCTTTTGTTACTTAGGTGTGGAAAGTTGGGGTTTTCCTTTTAATTTAGTTACAGGAAGTCAGCATGAATTGGCCTTAGGTTCCCTGCCCCCAGACCCTATTCTCCTGTCTCACTTTTGCCTGAAGATAACTCTCCAAGTACCTCCATCATCCCATGTAGTATCTTGATTACTTCCATTGAAAGCGAATTGCTCAAAAATAAGCCATTAGACCTAGTGGCAATCATTCATTCATTGTTTTCCCCCAAGATTCTTATTGATCACTTACTATGTGCCAAGCATGATTCTCAGAGATGGGGATGAAAAGGTGATCAAAACTGCACTTGTCTGTCTTATGGAGCGTACATTCCAATGGAGTAGGTGGAAAGGAAACAACTAAATCAATGAAAATATACTTTCAGGTAGAGTGCAGTGCTATGAAGAAAAATAGAGTAGGATAGAGTATTAAAAGGTGGGGTAGTGGAGGCAGGGTATCTTAGGATGGTCAAGGAAGTCCCTCTAAGAAGGTGAATGTGAACAGAAACTTGAATTAAGCAAGGGTGAGTCACCTAAAGATGTGTAAGAGCAATACAGGCCAAGAGGTTCCACGAGGACATAGGTGGGAGCAATCTTGGTTTAAAGGACAATGAGGACATGAATGTGATTAGAGTAGAATAAGCAAAGGGAGTGTGGCTGGCAGCTAGGCAGTGGTCAATTTGCAGTGAGGAGTGGGGATTCTATGCAAGGACAGTAGTGAGCCATGGGATGGTGACACCTAGAGGTCCCATTCATGAATCCAGGGCATTTATTTCCCCTTTCTGAAGGAATGGAAGATTCTACCACCATTTCTACAAGATTCTACAGCCAGCCTCAGTGGCTCACACATAATCCCAGCACTTTGAGAAACTGAGGCAGGCAGATGGCTTGAGGTCAGGAGTTCAAGACCAGCCTGGCCAAAATGGCAAAACCCTGTCTTTACCAAAAATACAAAAACTTTGCCGGGCATGGTGGCACATGCCTGTAATCCTAGCTACTCAGGAGGCTGAGGCAGGAGAACCGCTTGAATCCGGGAGGCGGAGGTTGCAGAGAGCTGAGATCCTGCCACTGCACTACAGCCTGGGCAACAGAGCAAGGCTGTCTCCAAAAAAAAAAAAAAAGAAAAAAGAAAGGATCCTACACACACCAGCTAGTAGTTCCTGGATGTCCAAGGGCAAAGGCCATTGTAATAAATCGAGGAGTAAAAAGTTTTTTAAGTCATGACCTATTCTCAATGGAATTACCTGTTGAGGAAATAATAAGATATTTGATTTCATAAAGCACTATCAGGAGGCCTTCCATGGCCACCCTGCAGAAGCTACCACCTAAGAGTTCCCATAATGTGTGAAACCCCCTCCTCCGATCCCCCCTCCCACACAAACAAACATTCAGAAAAGGACTGGACAGGGAGAAACTCCTTTACACATGGGTGCCGGAGTTTAGAACTGACACCTCACCATTAATAATATTTCCTAATTCCTCATAAAATGGAATTTTTAGAATAGATTTGATAATAAATCTAAATAATTACTTATAATAAAATGTAGACAGAACAGACAGAAACATAAGGCTGTGGCTTTTATTTTATGGTTTGAAAAGTTCTACGAGACAACATTAATTAGTAACATTCCTCAATGAACATGCAATGTAGTTTATTATAAATGGTAATTTAGAGATAATGGTGTGAACATGTTAAGTTCCAAGCAACCCATCTAAAACTGAAAGTGGAGCTCAGTATTGATGCACATTCTCCTCGAAGCCCTGAGCACAGCTTATATTTCACTCTAAATTATCTTTTTTAGCCTTTCATATCGAGACCATTTTAGCAGCATTTTTAAATAGATTACTAAAAGGGAAAGCAGACGATAAAATATGTAAAGCAAGCATTTTAGGCAACAGTCCAGATTATATAATTCCATATGATCAGAGAGATAATCACCTGTTTTCTGAGAGGACTCATGCCTTCAGATAAAATGACAATGGATTACATCTCTTCCTTCCCACCCCACCCCCTTTGGCGTGCTTTAATTAGAAAGACACTAGTGTAGATTAAAGTCTTAGCCATACTCAATTCTTCCCTTGACCTGAAGAAAACCACAGCCATCGAGAATCTGGTGGGATACAAAACATTGTCAGTTTCATCCAAGTACACCAGTGAGCTTAAATAGAGCATCCAGGAGGTGCACTATTTACACAAGAGAAAAAAGGTGACCCCTTACATATTGATGATTTGACTCACATAATGGTCTTACCTTCTGGATCACAGCCTTGAAGTGTCAAGCACATCATTTCCATGTAGACAAGTGACATTTCCGTGCAGGAGAAGGCTAAGATAATCTTCCAGATGTAAACCAAGGACCTGCTGTCTGGGTCTTTGCATTTGTCAGTTGTGTATTTATGTGTGGGACACAGTAACTGTTGAAGCAAACCGAATTCAAGCAAACTAAAAAGCAAATCCTTGCATAGTACTTAAAGTCCAATGAGATAAAATGATGGATCAACAGGATTATTTTTGCTTAATGAAGCATTCTGGGTTTTGAGTCTCATTGGACTCAGTTTTTCAACAGGATGTTGTGCTCAAGGGCTGGAATTTGGAAATTCCACAACAGCTATATAATCAGTCAGCTCTGATTAATTTAATTGAAACAGGACTCTTGATGAGGCCCTGCTGTGCTTATAATTAAAAATTTAGAAACGGGTAGGGAGAGGGGTAAATGATGTGGGGGTTTCTTTTTCCTGTGAAATTAGCAGAGTGTATTAATTCAGAAGGTAGGCAGTTGCCTCTGATTGTATGCTTTAGTAATCTGAACCATCTGCCTCTATATACTAAGGAGTTCACCACTTTAATCCAGCTTACGGCCGACAAACCACTCTTCTCTATCAGTATGCCCTTGAATAGATGAGGCTGTGCAAAGTCCTTTGCTCTTAAATGTATTGCTGTCATTGAGAATATTTGGAGGTTTTCTCTTGGGTTTGTTTGGATTTTGTTTCTTCAGCTTTTGTCTAATTTTGGTTTTATTTTTCTGGAGCAGAGAAAATGGCTTTCCTTATGAAAAGTATGATAAGTAACCAGGTAAAGAATTTAGGATTTGGTGGTGGGTCTGAAGAAAATAAAGAAGAAGGAGGTGCATCTGATCCTGCAGCAGCTCAAGGGATGACTAGAGAGGAGTATGAGGAGTATCAAAAGCAAATGATTGAGGAGAAGTGAGTACATGCTACTTCATTTCCCTTAAAAAGCAAAGGAAATTCATTCTGGCCATACCTTCTTCAGTTCTCCAGTTTATTTCTCTTTGCTTTTTAAGATGCCTTTCCTTTTGCCGTTTACCTCTAAACCAAGGAAAGGTTGTTCTTCTAAAGTAAACAGTTCCCTAACATCAGCAGCTACTATGTTCTGTGTTCTATATTCTACATGTATGAATGGAAATGAACAATAATAAATTAATCTATATGTTGTTCTTAAAGCAGCTTAACACTTTCTGGTATAGGCATGTTTTGATTGACCTCAATTTAATTATTTAGATGAAAAGTGGTGGGTTTAACTAACAGTCTTTCTAAACTTCACCCTCCTAGCAAGTAGAAAGTCTTCAAATTGTAAGAATTCAGACCTTATACCTAGAAAAGGGCCTAAAAGAATATAGTGTAGCTTCCTTGATCTTGCATGTGAGAAAAAGAAAAAGCTCGGAAAGCATAACATGACAATTATGTCATAAGACTTGGCTTATCAAAGACTATGAATAGATTTGTGGACTGTTTAATATGGAAATTCTAAACATACAGAAAAGTAGAATAGTAGGATGAATACCCATATATACCTATGACATAAAATCAACAGCTTACAGTTTGCTATATTTGCTTACAGATTAAATAGATAGGTGGTAGATAATAGTTTTTAAAGTAAATTACAGATGCCATATACTTCACCCCTAAATACTTCAGCCACCTTCCTCCAAAAAATAAAGGCATTCTCTTGGCTATATAAAATATAACAAATATAAAATATAAGCAACATTTTAGTTGAGTATCATAGAATGTGAATATCACCAACAACTTTTCGCCACTTGAAGACTGATTCTGAAATAAATGTAATCTCTGTGTAATTTTTTTAATGTTTAAGGTAGAATTAAAGTTCTTTTAATAATCAGTTAAGAAATGAAACATCAATCTATAGGTTAAATGTTTATCATATGTTTCAAAAGAAAAGTATTTCTTTTTTGCCACCTGGGCTCTTTTGCTAATGATCAATTACATAATAGTTGCCTAAGTCCTATCGCTAAGATGATTATAGGTGAAAAGGTTAATGACCTGGAGGAAACAAAGAAAGTACAAAGACTACATTTAGCGGAAACCTTGGCTATTGTATTCTTTTGAAAGAAATCATGGCTTATAAACTACCTAGAATACATTATGCTTGGTTCTGCAGTAAATTAAAGTTGGTTTTTTAAAAAAATGTCAATGCAACTAGTAAAAATGATGTTGGTGCTAAGACTTGGGCAAAAGAAGCAGCATTCCTTGAATATTGGCTGATTTTACCTATGGTATGCAAAACAACAAAAAGCTGTAAAAGCAAAATAAGTACTGTGTAATGGAGAATAGAAGACAAACATCAGCATCAAACATTCTCAGATCAAGAAGGCTAATGAAAACAACAATGTAGACTACAGTTGTAAGCATACAAAATATCATTTAATATGTTCAAGCAGCAGATCCGACTGCAGATAAGGCATCTATTTGATTAACTAATGTCCTAGTTTTCCTTAATTTTATATCTGGACAGATCAAAGCTCAAAATGGCCAAATCATACAGTCAATCAGTAGATTGAGTTGTCAGCTACTCAGCTTTTTGCGTACGTGTGTGTGAGAATATTATATATTTGTGTAGTCACTCAGTTTAAGAAATAGTGTCAGGACAATGGAGCATTCGGCTTCCCTATGATACAGAGGGATGACTTTCAGTCCATTGTTTGAATTTTCAAGAGTTTCACCACCTAGAATGCAATATGTAGTAGGCATTAAAAATAATTCATCACAAGATAAACACAGAGATAGCTACAAACAGTAGAGTATATATAATAATTAAAATGAATGTTAGCGAATAAAAGCCTCCTACCTAAACCCATCCTCATCATTTTAGGAAGTGGGGAGATTGACTATATGAATTATAAATAAAAAACTATTTAGCAATGCACTCTAATAATGCACATTCATTTTTCTTTTCCTTCTGTGTTCAATGTGCATGTGTGTGTGTGTGTGTGCACACCACTGGTAACATTAGTACTGAAAGAGGTCTAAACATAAATAGACTATCTGGAAAGGAAATAAAACAATAGTCTGTTTATCCCTACATTTTCTCATTTATATTAAAAAGTTTCTTTGCCTTACTTATGCTTCAGCAGTTTCTACAATACCATTTGTAACTTGACTCTGACCTTTGTTTTATTCAGTAATTGTTTGGACGTCTAGTATGAGCATAGCATCGTGAGGAATGTACCGAAATGGAACAGATGGGTTTTCTTCTGCAGGAATTTACACTTTACGGGGAGACTAGCTAGCTGCATGTGACTATAAATGGAGCAACCAGTTTTTCTGTGTGATTTGTAGACTGGCTCTAGAGGACTGGAATCTAACTCTGTGTGGCATTAGTATCAACAAATGGATCAATGCGGTTTATAGTTATCTGATTTTCAACAAAGGCGCCAAAATAATCAGACCAGGAACGGAAAGTCTTTTCAACAAATGGTGCTAAACAACCGGAAAACATTGAACTTTGAACCCTACTTGACACTACACAAAAATTAATTTGTTATGTGTCATACACATAAACATAAAAGCCAAAATTATAAAGCTTTTCGAAAAAAAAAGTAGGAGAATATCTTTGCAACTTGAAAGTGGATGAAGTTTTCTTTATCATGACCCAGATTGGCAATGACCTTATCAATGACCATAAAATTATTAAATGATAAATTCAGCTCTAATTTGAAAACTTTTTTTTTTTTTTTTTTTTGAGACGGAGTCTCGCTCTGTCGCCCAGGCTGGAGTGCAGTGGCCGGATCTCAGCTCACTGCAAGCTCCATCTCCCGGGTTTACGCCATTCTCCTGCCTCAGCCTCCCGAGTAGCTGGGACTACAGGCGCCCGCCACCTCGCCCGGCTAAGTTTTCATATTTTTTAGTAGAGACGGGGTTTCACCGTGTCAGCCAGGATGGTCTCGATTATACGTTAAAAGATGCCATTAAGAAAATAAATGGGTAAGCCAGACTGAGAGGATATATTTGGAAAATATATCTGACAAAGGACTGGGATCTAGGAAATATGACGAACTCCTAAAACTCAATAATAAAAGCAAAAAAAAAGGGAAAAGTTGGAACAAATACTTCAGAAAGATAGATATATGGCCAATTAGTACATGAAAATCTTACGTGAAAGTACATGAAAAGCTGCCTGATATCATTAGTTGTCTTGGAAATGAAAAAAATGTAAATCACAGTAAAGTAGCACTCCATAAATACCAGTATGACTAAAATCAAAAAGACAAAAAATATTAGATGTTGCCAAAATGTGAAACCACTAGAACTCTTGTTTCAATTGTTGAGACATAAACTAGTATGACCACTTTGGAGAAAGGTCTTGCTGTCTCTTATAAAACTAAATGTATCCCAGTAAGTCACCCTAGAACTCAGCAAATTCCATGCCTAGTTATTTACCTAGTAGAAATTAAAATAGATGTCCACAATAAAAGCTAGAACAACAATATTCAAATCAGCTTTACTCACTGTAGCCCCAAATGGGAAATGATTCCGGTGTTCATTAACAGAAAAATGATTAGACAAACGGTGATTGTATTTGTGCAAACAATAGAATACTTACCACTCAGCAATAAAAAGGAACCAGCTACTAATACATAAAACAACAAAGTGAAATCTCAAAAGTATTTTACGCTGAGTGAAAGAGGCCTTACACAAACATGAACTGTATAGTTCCATTTTATGAAGTTCTAGAACAGGCAAAACCAATCTATGGTAGAAAAGGTGTGGTGGTTGCCTCTAGGGCTAGGGGGTAGGCCTTGATCAGGAATGGGGTTGGGAAAATTTTCCCAGGTGAGAGTAATGTTTTCTATCTTGAGAGGGTTTTGGGTTACACAGGTGTGTGCATTTTGGGGACTCTTTGAATGGTGTGCTTAAGAGGTTTGTGCATTGCATTGCATACAACTTTTGCTTCACAAGAAGAAAAGAGAAGCTATAAACAAACATTTCACGCTAGTTAATGACATGCATATTGAAGAGTTTGGGGGAAATGTTACTGATTTCTGCAACTTTGAAATGTATCAAAAAAGTAAAACGTGGATAAAGAGAGGAATAGATGTGATAAAAACGTACCGTGAGATGCAAATTTTAGAATCTATATGGATTTGATATTAAAATTCTTTCAACTTTTCTGTATGTTTGGAAGTTTTTACAGTAAAATGTGGGGAGAAAAGGTCTGCTGCTTGTCCACGCTACAGGTCGCTAATCTCCTGGGCAGGTTGCTTTATTCAGTGTCCCTCTCCAAAACTAGAAGGTTGAACTCCATGCTTTCTCATGCCCGCTCCAGACCTGACATTCTGGGGCTGGAAATGAGTTCAGAGAGCACCTGAGCCCAGGGCCTGTGATCAGTAGTTTAACCTGATTGTTTGCTGCAGCTTCTTCCTTAACACTTAGCTGTTTGCGTAATGGTGAAGATTATTTCCAAACTCAGAGTCAAGACATAGAAACCAGTTTTCACCTGAAAATAAAAACAGGGGATTTGTTTTAAGCAGATACTGCTTTCCTCAAAGATAGTTCACCAGATCCACGGGTAGGATTCCCGTTAGGCCTCACATGGGCCTAAACCAGGAAGCAGGAGGCTGTTGAGAGGCCACGAGCACTCTTTCCCCATCTCTTGCCATTGCTTCTATCTGGGCGTGACTGCTTTGTTCTTTCTCAGCAGCCAGACTACAAGGTTGGTGGCAAATGACAGCCAATGGCTACCAAGTTCATCTGTTATTTTGCCAGCCACATTGCAAGTGTCTGTCATTCTTAGCACCAATCCTATATTTTCCAAGAAGAGATTTCATTTACTGAGCTTGGTCTAACCCCATATAGCCAGAGGGCAGGGCCGTGTATATAAATTCAGCTACCAATAAAGCACTTCTGTGGGCAGCAGGGAAGGGTGGTGGTGCTTGTGAGCTTGCAGACATCTCCAAAGGTGTCTGCTTTTGTCTGGATCATCATTAGCAGGAATGTCCATTTCAAACCAGCATAACCGTGAGTCCAATTAGATTATTCACACAGCAGGATCCCCGTCTGGCATTCTGGAAACATACCCTACCTTGTTTGGGGCTACCTCCTTCCAAACCAGGAAGAAAATGCCATGCCTAAATTGGGGTCTGGAGAGAGTAACAATGAAGGGAGACAGGTTTATATTATATCCCCCAACACCAATGGTCTTCAAAGAACTGCCTGGTTCTGGACACTGTGACCCTATTTTAGTTTGCATAAGAATCGCTCGGGAAGCTTGCTAAAAATGTAGCTTCCCCTCCCCTGCACCCCGAGATTCTGATGCAGCAGGGCTAGGATCAGGCCCAGGAAGCTGCATTCGTCATAAGTGCACCAGGTGATTCTGAGGCTCATGGTCCTTGGCTGAACAGTCCATGGAAAACTCTACGTTGGGAATAATCACCCTGCCCCTCTCCTGGTTCACATCATAAAGAGATTCCTAGGACCAAATTGTCTTTGGGACTTAGGGGTATATACTGAAAGTTACGACAGTAGAGTGACAGACAGGCAGACGTTTGGGGACCTAGGAAAAAAATCCCATATTTCCCAAGTGTCTGCCTGCAGTGGCATCTCAGAAGGTGTAACCCAATATCTGGCTCCTCTGAGCACGGGCGGGAATGTCTTCAGCTCTCTGTATCCTTCTGATCCTTTATTCTTTAACTTTTAGGATGGAAAGAGATGCTGCATTTACACAGAAAAAGGCTGAGAGGGCATGCCTCAGAGTTCATCTCAGAGAAAAATACAGGCTCCCAAAGGTAAGACACCCTGAACACAGGAAACATCTAATCATTTCTTAATTACCAAAAAACGGGAAGTCATACTTGATTATCCACAAGGGATCATGCTGAATATATCCTAATTGTAACTGAGATGTTTGATATAGTGAAAAGGGAGCTGAATGAGGAGTTCATAAAATCTTGATTCCATTTTTTAACCTAACTTCTATGAACTTCCACTGTTGCTTAAAAAAAAAATGGAGTTAATACCTATAAATGACATTTTAACATAAATTTATCTGAAGATTCTCGAACTTCTCTATGTATATACACAATGGGGACAATAATCATAGCTGACATTGGTTGAGCTCTTTCTAGGTACCAGGCACTGTGCTTTGTGTGTATGAATTCATTTAGGTTCTGTTCATCTCTGCCTTACCATAGAGGAAACACAGGCATGAAGAAAGTAGGTACCCTCCTGCCATGGGCCAGACAGCCAGGAAAGGCAGAGCCCATGGTCCTGATTTCTATGATATTCCACCTCTATTTAAAATGAACCATCAATTGCTGGTTTGGGGAATAATGTAGTAGAGACAGTCATCACCCAGCACCATCTTATGCATCTCAGCACTGGCTGAGGATGACTGCTGTAGGCTGTGGCCGAGTGAGTCGTTGGTCTCCTGGTGGGAAGGGAATGCCTTGACATGTTGTAGAACATGTCTTAGATGTACCATTCCAGGGCTTGCATCCAGTAATGACAGAGGGCCTGTCACTTGCTACTCTGACTCATACCACCTGACTCCAGCTTTACTACCTGTCCACCTGACTAAACGACTCCACCTTCAACTTCTGGGTTGGTCATTCAACTTCATATTCCAAAGATGCACCATCCCTTAAAGAACATCTTCCATCTGGAGAAGCCAAAGAAAAAGATCCTCCAAAGGGCATGATCCCAAGTATGAGAGCCACCTCCAAATCCGGGTGGTTTAGAAAGTGCTGCTAAACCAACTCCTTCCATTGATCCCCAGCAGATCCCAAAAAAAAACTGGTTTTAGAAACTATAAGCATTAAACAAGGGAGAGTCCACTGTCTATTCAAGGTCACTGATGAAATCACCAAAGACTTAAACATGGTAGAGGTTGATCCCTAAGGTTCCCAAGAACCCGGGTTCTGTTCTTAATAAGAGAAGGAAAACCCACAACAAAATGTAAGCTCATTTCATCCACAACCAATGAACTTGTAAAAGAATGCTTTGCTTTTCCTATCCCACCCTCCATTCAGGTTTAATAACTTTTCCCCACTGTGCTTGCATTTTGGAAGAGTGAAGCACTTCTAAACACTGTCCTTTCCACTTTCATTGTCTGGTGAATTTCCTGAAACTCCCTGGATGTCACTGGCTCTCTTTAGCAATGTGGCCTCCCCCAGGCAGGAAACTTGACTCAGATTCATGCTGCTTCACTGAAGCTCTGGCCTCTGCTCTTGTGCCATCTGATTAAGGCACCATCAATCTTGTTGGGATGAAGCAGAAATTTCACACACACACACACACACACACACACACACACACACAAACACACACGATTGGCTGGGTGTGCATCGTCCAGAATGGTAGGACTTTTTAAAGATTTATTTTTGACAACTGTTATTCTTCTGTAGGGATCTAGGGAGAACTGGGGTTCAGTTGTGGCTCTGTAACACAGTATCACATGGTTTTAAAAAATATCCGAGTCTCTTAATTTACGCAGCAGGAATAGAAAAAAAAAATCTGAGCCTCAGTATCCTCATCTATAAAATGAGGGCTGAAGTACCTAACTTCACAGGATCTTTATCTGAGATAATGTAATATAAAGAACCTAGTACAGCACCTGACAATAGAGCTCTTATTGTTGACATTATGATCTCTGGGCACAAAAGTCTTATTTCCTGATAATAACAACCAGGGGTCTTGAGGACTGCCAGTCCTTAGGTGTGTAATCAATGCAACAATGGAGGTTCCTGAGCCTCAAGGCCCCAAGCCTTTTATCTTTTTCTCCACTAATGGTGAATCAGCAGTCTTGCTGACTTCCAGATCCTCAGGAGTGATCACCCTTAGACTTAGCAGTAAGGTTTAAGTACTCTTCCGAGAAAAATAATTCTCAAATCTCTGTGCCAGGGTATCCTTTGAAACAAAAGCCTTTCCAACAGAAACTATGGAAAAAGGAAAAAATGATAGCCATGAAATGCACAAATCCAGGTCCTCCCCGGAGAATGATTGCGGCTATACCTGCATAGGCTACTGCTCCCTAAAGCCAGCTAGGGGGAGGGACTGACATGAAGGACGTTGATGAATGAACAGTAGAGCTTACCAGTGTCTTTCATGGCCTGGCTTACTGATGTTCATATATCCCCTTTTCTATAGCTGTTTCAAATGCATAATGCATTTGAGATCCCACCTGATTTTCTCATAGACCATGAAAGAGACCATAAAGCTCATCTAATAATCTCATACCACTGCGTCATTTTATACCTGGGGAAACTGCAGCCCAGCAGGGTTAAGTAGCTTTGCAATAAGCCACATCTTCTGTGACAGACTCAGGATTGGAACTCAGGACCCACAACCATGAAAAAGAGCAGTTTGTTCACAAAAGGACTTTGACAGAGCTCCCTGTCTCAAGGCATTTGTTCTTTCTACTTCTTTTTTGTTTTTGTTTTTTTTTGAGACGGAGTCTGTTGCCTGTTGCCCAGGCTGGAGTGCAGTGGTGCGATCTCAGCTCACTGCAAGCTCTGCCTCCCAGGTTCACGCCATTCTCCTGCCTCAGCCTCCTGAGTAGCTGGGACTACAGGCGCCCGCCACCATGCCCAGCTAATTTTTTGTATTTTTAGTAGAGATGGGGTTTCACTGTGTTAGCCAGATGGTCTCGATCTGCTGACCTTGTGATCCGCCTGCCTCAGCCTCTGAAAGTGCTGGGATTACAGGCGTGAGCTACCACGCCTGGCCTCTTTTTACTCTTAATATTTGAGCTGTTCCCCAAAATTTTAGGGCAGTTTTGAATTCCATGTGGCTTAAAAAAAAATGGGAGTATATTCTTTCTCCTGTGTTGTCTAACAGTTTGACCCTAGATCTGCAAGCAGCTGTCTAAATTCCAAATACAATCCAAACAAACAGATGAGGATTTCACTTGAAAACATTGTACACACCATCATTCACTGCAGTTTACGTCCAGGCGGGGACCCCCTTCTCCAAGGGCATTTTTTGTTTGTTTAAGTTCTAGGGTACATGTGCACAACGTGCAGGTCTATTACATATGTATACATGTGCCATGTTGGTGTGCTGCACCCATTAACTCGTCATTTACATTAGGTATATCTCCTAATGCTATCCCTCCCCCACTCCAATCCCCACACCCACACAAGGCCCAGTGTGGGGTGTCCCCAGCCTGTGCCCAAAGTGTTCCATGTGTCAATTACCCACCCATGCGTGAGAACATGCGGTGTTGGTTTTAAGTAACAGCGCTAATTGCTCAAAATGATGTTTCCCTATAGCTTAATCATGCCCTACAAAGGACCATAACTCATCACTTTTATGGCCTGCATAGTATCCATGAGTGTGGTATGGGGTGCCAATTTTCCCTTAATCCAGCTACATTGATGGACATCGGTGGTTTCCAAGTTCCTTACTATGTGAAGTTAGTCCGCATAAACATACGTGTCAATTGTCTTTAGCCAATATATTAAATCCTAGATAACCTCAAAGGATGGCCTTGGCCAAATGGTAATTCTATCTAGTCTAGAGCCCTTGGAGGAAGCACCACCATGGCGCGGTCCACAATGGTGAACAGTTTGACACGTCCCCCAACATCGGTAAAAGTGTTCCTAATTCTCCACATCCTCTCCAGCACCTTTGTTCCGTGACTTTTTAATGACGCACATTCTAAACGGTAGATCATCTTCATTGTGGTGGGGATTGCATATCGCTGATGGCCATTGAAGATAGCATTT